TGGGCGCTTCGCTTTGGGAAAAGTTGAGCTTGCCGATTGGTCAGTTACTGACAAACCTACTGGATTGATTGACAGGTGACTGTCTTCATTTATTCCTTTTTTTTTTATTCAATATTTTGGTGAATATAAGGTTGAGAACTGGGTTTCCTTACAAAATCCTAATGATGGTTTCTTAGTTTTTCAGTGGTGCTGAGTTAAAATTTAGTGGTGCTTGAGCACCCCCATAATCTCCACTTCCATCTTCAAGTCACTTCTCAGGACGAGCACGGCCTGTTCAGGAGCTTTTAGCTGCCTCTGAAGCTGCAGGTGCTGTTTGGTGGGTGGATGAGTGTGAGACAACACGCAGAGCTATCCACACACAGGGTGGAGTCATGTCAGTCAAAAAAACTAACCCCACCCTAAAGCAAAGAAGAACTTTATATCAGTTGATAGCTTTTATTTGGACCAAACTAAGCTGTTGTAGAATTTCAAAACACATTTTGCTTATATGTTGCTACTGATTTATCTTCAGAGTGTTTCAAATTTGCATCCAGAAAGTCAAAGAGGCGTTGTTTGAGTAACGGACCCTCCCTGGAATGACACCTCCCAGTTTGTGTAGCGGGTCATCTACGGCTAATTATCCCAACGCCCATCAGCTGCAGGAGACACAGACAGACTGGGACCATTTTAACAGAGATGATCGCTCTGTCTGCTGTTTGTTCAGCTCTCCGCTGGTTTTAGAGACATCAGTTTACTTTTGTCTCCTGTTACTGAAGTGATAAAGTGCAGAGTGTTTGCTGCTTGTTTGGCAGAAAGTAAACAAAGTGACACAAAAGTGAGCATACCTGTCTGGCCTAACTAGTTACACACAAGTCGTAAAGACGAAGCCCTTTTGGGGGAAATGTACTTTAGTATGTTTACACAGATGCACATCTTTAATGTTATATGTCATTCTGAACACAATTAGTCAAACAGTTTTTAAAAAGATGTAATTTACATAAGCTTTTCTACCTAAAAAAAACAACAACAAAGATTCTTCTGTATCGTTTCTGAATTTTTGCATTTTATCATAAAATTAGCTTCAAGGAGGGTTTTAGTAGCTTAAAATGTTCAACTTCTCATTCATTTATTTTGACTTCATTAGAGTTTTAATCATTCGGTGCTTTGTGTTTTTATGGAAATAGTGACAATGTTGTAAAATCACATTTAAAAAAATTTGGGGAACTGTGATTAAAAAAAATAAATAAAAAAAGCTGATCTCTCATGGAAAACATGTTTTGTTTTTTAATTTGCATTAAAACCAGTTAGCCTTTCTTATTCTCTAAAAATGCATGCATACTGAGACGTTAAGGACTTTTATCACAGTTTAGAAATGTGCAACTCAGCATTTTAAACAGCAAGCAGATTGTGCTGTTGTCAGTTTGTAAGTTAAAAATAAAATTGAAGTGGGCTTTCAGCAATAATAACAGCACCATAAAAGTAATGAAAAGTTGGCTTTGGGATTTTAATTTAAAAAAATCTGTTGAACTGGGCTCAGTTTGCAGATTTCAGTGCAGTGAGGGACATTACAAACCTCACATGTGACATTTTAAGATGAAACATTTGGGCTGGCCGACACTTGGACTCTGAATGAAGGACTTTTGTTCCAGTTTTAAAGCCTGTCTGACCTGTGAGCAACAAAAATAACTAAAAAGACATTTCAAGCATTGGCCAGAGCAGGTTTAGCCTCCTCCTGTTGATGCATTTAGCTCCAAGTGACAAGAGACCCGTTTGGCTGCGAGACGCAGCAGCAGCAGCAGGGGGCGGGGCCTGACTGAGTGAGCCGCTCTCTGATTGGCTGAGCAGCGCGACGTGTACGTCAGTCAGCAGCAGGTAACGCACATGTGGCACATCTCCAGCCCGCAGCTGAAACTCAGTCTCCAGGGGTGCAGATGACCGGATACCTGTTAACTCTAAGGTCTGTTTAACTTCCCACGGTGAGTTTATATTTTTTTTAAACCCGCTTCACTTTTTATTTTTATTTTATAGTTGATTTTGCTCTGAATGGGGCTCACATCTGTCCCATCTCTACCGTTAGACTGATTAAATGACATGTTATAGGAAAATGTTTTATTGTCCTTCTAATCTATGTAAAACAGACTTACAACCGGTTAAAGGTTTTACAAATGTCCATGTTCAAAGAAGCTGCAGAACATATTTTTTATTTATGAAGAGGAAGTTTTTGGTGAGGATTCTGGCAGTAACTGAGGTAAGTTGGTGCTGTTCGTATCTGTTTTTGTGAGCTTAACCTTGAAATGGACTTTATCTCAGGAGGCGATAAGAGGCAGCATCATGGAGCGTTCACACCACAAGATCTGACACAAGATGCAGGAATTAAATGCGTTGAATTCAAGAAAGAAGTCATAGTTCAGTGGATTAACTGTGCGAATACTATGAGTCAGCATTTAAATTCTTGTTTTCCTGTTTTTGTATTTGCCCATACTTTTTTTTTTTTTTTTCAATTTAATTACTTCTGCACACTTTGTGCTAGTTTAATCATCCAAATATCAAAACGTTCACGGCTGCTATGACTTTTGGATTTTGGAACTTGCTTTTCAAAAGTTTTACCTTTTTTTTTTTTATAAAAATGCTAATTTCCAAATAAATAAAAATGCATTCTTCATTTCCTGCCAAAACTTTGTTCACTTTGAAATCTGCTTCAACAAACTTTTTTTGTCTTCTTATGCTAGTTTTTGCTTGCAACTTTTAGCTTTAAGCTACAATTTTGCTACATTTGGTTAGCATTTTACTACTTTTAGCTGTATTTTCCCTTTTGCTTTTATGATTTTTGGGCTAGCATTTTGTTTCTTTTTTGTCTTTTAGCTAGCATTATGCTAGTTTGGGCTTTAATTAAGTTAGTGTTCTGCTTCTTGTAGCTTTTAGTTAATATTCTTGGGCCTCATGTGTCACAGGTGTGTACGCACTTGAAGGGTACACATGTCATGTTCCACATGTCAAGATGCATCAAAATAAACATTGGATGAGATTGTGCTTAAATGTACACAAACTTTTTTTTTACCTGCTGGAGAATGTGAGTACTACCATGTAAAACGTTTCAGTCAGTAATATCAAACTACAAAGTACTGAACTCTCTTACTGTATGCACCAAAATATGATTCAGTTTTCTGAACTCAAGGGGTATTTAAACAAGATCTTTTCTTATAAGTTGCAGCTTTTTTGGTTTAAACCCAAACACTGAAACCGAAGTATATTGTGACCTCAAACAACATAACACATGACAAACACTCGGATGTGAACTGTAAAAATGTATTTATTTTTGTTGCATTTAGATATAAGCATGCTCAGTGATCGCACGCCTGCAAGGTGCACAGATATGAGTATAAAATGCATGTGAATTGTTTTAGGGGCACTTCCATTCTCACTGAGAAGAAAAGTGTTGAATGAGCAAATTAATTCAGAACAAGTCACGTCTGATGATTCCTTTGGTCGATAAGGTGCAGTTAGTGACATGTGGTCATAAATCGCTGCGTAAAGTTGCACGTTATTGTGGAATAATGACAGTTTTGGAGTTGTCGGTGGAAAAAAGGACCGTGTTTTTGGGGATCACATTGCCCTACTGGCACACGATGATGCTTGGCTTATCGGCTGATATGAAGTGCCCATTGGTCATTCTTTTGGAACTCTGTGTTGAATTGGCTCCAGCATTATGGAGAGAAACTAGAAGGAACCGTGTTGGTGCTACAAGTCTTTACAGTCATGGAGTTTCTTGAAACCGGAGCTTTTCAGAGGGAGATGGCTGACAGGTCGGGTTTTCACAGTCCTTCCTGAGTCATGTCATGCCAGCTGTATGGTTTTTAAACACGTGTGAAGTTGGATATGCCTCAGAAGTGCGCCACCAGCAGATCGGCACCCACTGACTTCATTCAGTTACAACAACAGTGTGTATTTCCTGGACAGTAAGTCGTGTCTAACATTATTGCATAAAAGGTGATGGACAGCTGTCCTTTACTCTCTGGGACTTTTCAATACTTTTGTGTGTACGCTGCTCTGACAGCTTCACACATACCATCACTCCCCTTGGTGCATGTGTGCCAAAGACTATTTTACACCACTTAGGAGCCTTCCTTGATGCAATTCATTTAAATTCCTCATTTTCCTGCCTAGTGATATTGTTTTTATCATGCACAGACTAGTATCACACATGCACGTCATATTTGCATCTATTTGCTTATTTAAACAGAATTGTCTCGTGTGCTCAGTCCCATGTTTCATACATGCACACATCTTGACAAATCTGAATGCTTTTGTGCACACATATTTTTCATATTGTGTTCCGATGGCAGATTTAAGATTGAAAGCTGACACTGTTTGATACCTAAGGCCCCTGCGTCTTTCAGCTCGTGTTCTACTTCTTTCAGCTCGTGTTCTGCTTCTTTCAGCTCGTGTTCTGCTTCT